GAGATGATATATCGTCCATAGTTTGGTCAAAATCCTTGATCTGGGACAAGTTTGAGTCTTGGACCTGAATAGGGGTAACTGAGGCTTGAAGGGTTTTTTCAGTATTGAGCTCAGAATTTGAGCTAAACCCAAGCGATAAATGCTTCCAATTGATAGTTGGATCATGCCTTTGAAGCCATGGAAGACCTAGGATAACTGGGTACTTCATTGGTATAACATCTAAAGAGATGGTGTCTGAAAATGTTGATTTTCCTAGGGGAATCTCAAGTTTGAGTACTGGGGTGTTGCAGGTAATGGAACCTGAACTGATAGGACTTCCATCAATGACTCGGAGCAACTCTGGAGTGCGTTTGGGAATTGTAGGTAACTGGTGTGTCAAGATGAGGTCTTGAGATATAAAGTTGCCTGTTGCCCCTGAGTCTATCATAGCCCTTGTAGATAACACCTGTTGTTTGAAATGGAGTTGAATAGGGATTAACAGGTGTGTGAAACTCTGAGAAAGCACCATCGACACATCTTTGTTGTCTAGGGGAGAAGTTGTAGTCTCAGTTGAAGTTGTGCCTGGTGGGGATTTTTCAAGTTTTTCAGGAATAGCAGCTGTGACTGTGTCTGAGGCTGCTATATGTTTTGAATCAGCACTCCCCCGTGCTGAATAGCACTCCTGAATTCTGTGCCCCCCTTTGCCACAGTATAAACAAAGGTTGTTGTCCATTCTGTCTTTTCTTTCTTGAGGAGTAAGTTTACCCCTTTTCAGTTTTTGAGGGCTTCTTGTAGGCTGAGGTGCTGGATTTGCTGTAGATCTCTTTATAGAGGCGTCTAAGTCCATAGGTTCAGGTGCTGAGTCCTTAGCAGTTGGTGTAGAGGTGTAATTGTTGAAATTTCTTGTTGGATGCCAGTCTTGGTTCTTCTCCTTTCTTCTTTCAAAAAGCCTATCATCAAGTCTGACAGCTTTCTCTATAAGCATTTGAAGTGTTGTAGGGCGTTCTTCTTTGCTGAGTTCATCCTTAATAGAGCTCTTGAGCCCTTGGTAGTAAGTGAAGACTAAGGCTTCTTCATTCCAAGTCAAGTGAGAAGTGATTCTCCTAAATTCTGTTGTATACTGAGCAGCAGAGGTCTTTTGACATAGCTTCTGTAGCTCTCTTTCCGCTGTAGCAGTTTCGTTGATGTCTCCAAAGGTCCTGGTAAGTTCCTCTTGAAACTGGTCATAAGAGGTAATCAAAGGTGTAGTGGTATTTTGGTTGTTGCCACTAAGTCTTCTAAGATATGGCTCAAAGAAGTTGAATGCAGATCCACGGAGGTAGCTGGCAGCGAAATATATCTTCTGAATGTCTGAGGTGAACTGATGAGGCCTGAGGGTAAAGTAGATGTCCAGTTGCATAAGAAATCCCTTCAACTTCCTCCTGTCTCCATGGTATAAATCTGGTGTTTGCACTTTAGGAAGTGCACCTGGGGTACCCGACATAGCCAGAGGAGCTGTGGGAAGCTCTGTATGATGTGTCTGAGTTGAGGATTGTGTTGCTGAAGTGTTGGCTTGAAAGGTGTTTTCCAAATTCTCAAGTTTGTTTGCTATATTTTGTATAAAGGCAAACAGTTGTTGCATCTGCTGTTCAGCAGTAGTTGTAGGAGCTTGGTCGTCCTCCATTGTAGTATCGAAGTGCTGCTATAGAAATAGTTGAAGCTTGAAGCAGACAAGGTGTAATGGTGGGTGCACCAGATGTGAGAATCTAGCCACCCAAGGAAGGGATGATTTTACTAAGACAACACACTGTCTTAGGAAACAGAGCCAAAGGGTTGTAGCTTAGACTATTCCACAACGCAGCAATCAGGTGTGTGATGTAGTGAAGTGGTTCAGACAAGTTGCAACAAATGTTGAGTCTGGGAACTCAGGGGTAAGTCAGAGGTTAACACCTCACTGACTTTTCAGAAACAAGGAGTAACAAGATCAATGCTTGGAAGCTTGGAAAAGACGTGGAAGTATGTGATAGTCGATTTACTGTATTGTCTGCTTGCCCTTTCTTAAGGAAAGGGCAATCCTATTTATGCTAAAGGAGTGTAGTTCTCTCATTTTCCAAGACTTTCCATGACTTACCAGGCTTGGTAACTGTAGTCGACGTAAGAGAATCCCATAGAACCATCTCTTAGGTTCGTAGCCTATAGGAAGTAAAAGGAGGTCCAAGGTCAGAGTACCCCTATAGACAAATTATGTCAGAGACAAATTATGTCATAGACAAATTATGTCATAACTTAACCAATCTTGTGGGTAACTAAAGAGCGATGACATGTAATGAATCATAGAGGTTCGTAGGAGCTTTTAGAGCTATCGTTCATGCTCCTAGGCCTCTAGTTGGTAGAGATATGTCATGTGGTAGTATGAGTGATGTCATGTAATGAATCATAGAGGGTTGTAGAGATATGCTATGTGGTAATATCGGCCCAGTAACTAAGGAGCGATGACGTGTAATGAATCATAGATGGTTGTAGCAATCGTTGAGTAGTATTGCTCTTGTTGTTGGTGTGATAAGCCAAAATATGTATAGTGACTTGTAGGTTTGAGGAGGAGATTTCCAAGTTTGCTCTTGAGTTTGATAGCAAACTGAGTGCAACGAATGTCAGTATGACAGTAGTTCTCTCATTTTCCAAGACTTTCCATGACTAACCAGGCTTGGTAAATGTATTAGAAATCAAGTGCGACCCACAACTAGCTTGCTAATCATGTAGCGAATGTAAGAGAATCCCATAGAACCATCTCTTGGGTTCCTAGCCTATAGGAAGTGAAAAGGAGGTCCAAGGTCAGAGTACCTATAGATAAATTATGTCATAACTTAACCAATTTTGTGGGTAACTAAGGAGCGATGACGTGTAATGAATCATAGAGGGTTGTAGAAGCTTCTAGAGCTATCGTTCATGTTTCTAGGCCTCTAGTTGGTAGAGATATGCCATGTGGTAGTATTGGCCCACCCCCCTTAAGGAGGAGATTTTCTTAATAACTTGTTCAATGAGTGTCCAAATGATATGCCGTGATGTATGTAGCATAAACAGATGTAGTAGAAGAGTTTGCAGCAATCGTTGAGTAGTATTGCTTCTGTTGTTGGTGTGATAAGCCAAGATATGTATGGTGACTTGTAGGTTTGAGGAGGAGATTTCTAAGTTTGCTCTTGAGTTTGATAGCAAACTGAGTGCAACGAATGTCAGTATGACACTCTTATTGTTGGTGTGACAATCCAAAATATGTATAGTGACTTGTAGGTTTGAGGAGGAGATTTCTAAGTTTGCTCTTGAGTTTGATAGCAAACTGAGTGCAACGAATGTCAGTATGACACCCACGTGACCGTAACCTGCCCGACTCCGATCCCTTCCATCACTGAGGGCGGAAGCATCCTTACATATATAGGGGCCAATTTCCGTGATAATTAATGCAAAATAAACCCACCCGGGCTTGAACTCCTGACTGAGCCATCGCCCATAAGTTTCCTTCCTAGCACTGCACTGGCTCACTCAACATCGCTGCCAATATGAAGTCCATAGCTGCTACATTGTTCCTTCTTGCATTTTATATTCGCCTCTCCATGCTTGCCGTCTATTTCTACTCCAATGTAACCAATGCAAGAGACTTTATGTAACGCTGACTTCTAAACGATAGAAGACACAGAGGTTCTCTTGCGTAAAGGTTTACTTATCAGAGGAGGCAGGGGATCAGACACAAAGGCTTCAAGTAACACGTTACTAGTATATAACAAATACTGTATTGAGTTGAGCACGAAGCTCCTATCTAAGGAAATACTATCTACTTATATAGTGGCGTCGTGCCTAGTGGACTCTTGGGAACTCACTCGAGTCCTCGGAGTCCTGGACTCTTAGGACTCTTCTCATCATCCTGCGAGTCCATCACGTGCCTAGTGGACTCCTGGGAACTCACTCGAGTCCTCGGAGTCCTGGACTCTTAGGACTCTTCTCATCATCCTGCGAGTCCGTCACGTGATACTTTCGGAACTACTATTCCCCGCTGCCCCTCCAGGTACCAGGGCCGGTCTCATGCGACCTCCCTCCTTCCTGTCCTGTAGTTGGCCAGCCTTCTTGTTCCGTCGTAACACTTTACAGGATCTGGATTCCTCATGGATGATGGAGTCTGGGTTTACACTAGGACTGGCAAGGTTTGTAAAACGGAGCAATACTGGCTTGATTGCACTGAAGGACACTCCGCTTTTGTTACCAAAGAATTCCATACCCTAGCATACGCTAAAGGTGGTACAAATATCCGCATTCCATTGCAGTTTGAGCGCATAAATGCAGAAGTGGAGCTTCTCTACGTCAATGGGGAATCGTGTCAATGAGATGCCAAACATTACTGCAAATGATAAATTCGCCTGAAATTTATTTTAAGTCGCAGCTTATGACTGTAAGCAAGCCCATCCCATATCCATTTACCTCGAGGGCGTCCCATTAACAGAAATATAAGTTTCAGCTATCTACACCTTCAATGCATTTTTCAATTTGAATTTTTGACTCCTGTACTAGACGATCCACATTGGAAATTATTAAGCACTCCAGGCTGTCAGAATATCTTGTGGCCGGATGGTCATTTTCAGCTTAGTTATGGCATTAAAGACACAATTAAATGCCAGATTTTACTTCTTTATAGTTTAGTAGGATAATTATACAATATTCCCTTGAGAATTAAACCAAACCTTTATAAAACACCCCAAGTGCACGTATTTGTTAGATCCAGAGACCCAATTAATTATCCGCAAAAACTGTGTTGAACTGTCCACCAAATCCCTAGAATTTTTTATATTGTTATATATTCGATAACATCACATTCTTTCCCACTTTTAGGTCACATGAGGCTAAATGCGCCTTAATCGTTTCCGCGTGGATATCATAACCCTCCCTCGACGTTGGAATAAGATATGCCAAATCACATGATGCAAACTAGGGCGGGATCAATAATTTTCCATGATAACCAATCGGACACCAACGAACCTCGCTGGATGAGGCGTTGATATTTTGAAATGCTACATTTATTCCACATTTTACGCTCCACTTGCAAACAGTTCTTGCGCTTCGTTGCTTATATACGAACCCAAACGACCAGCGCATTATTTGCGTCCCATAATAGAAACCTCCGGCCGACTGGCCCGGACGAGGAAGAGCCTTTCAGCCTCGTCACCCCGCGTCATACACAACAGTTCATGGGAAACGAATACCAAATGGCGTCCTTCAACATGGTCACCCGGATAGACGGGACCGAGGGCTTTAACACGCAGTCTATTGAAGAACGGAATTTCCAAGCTGCACTGATCATGACAGAGTGCCATTTTACAAGGAAGCCACCAGTTGGGCGAAAGACGGTGAATATGACACTGGCGACAATAAAGAGGACTATGGAGAAGACTCTTAATGTTTCGGAGATTAGGTATGGTTCTACATGGTGTTATGTCTGGGCTAGGGCTATCACTAATGCGTGGACTTCAGAGAAGTGCTTGCGAAAAACGTGGATATCTGGATGAGGTTGCAACTTGTGTTTTACGCAGCGATACCGAGGCTTGGGGCGAGATCATTACAAGAAACGTATTCAGAGACGGCACCACGGAATATTGATATACCCGAAAGTAGCACACTCATTGCAGAGAACCATGTGACGTTACTGGAGGACCTGACCTTGCTCAACAACCTTCTTGTGATCGCTAGAAACATGCTGGCCATAAAGGAGGTTGCCCAGGATATATGTTCGACGGTGCAGCTGGACAAGCAGATCACGAAGCTCATCGTACTTGGCGTCAATGTTACGAGCAAGGGCTATGATGGAGAGAATGTGGACAACCATACGCGGGGCAAACTAAACGAGATAACGGAACTTTACAAGAAGCTCCTTGTGACCTGCTTGCAGTTTCTGCATAATATGACGATGGGCAATGATAGACTCAAGATGGTGTTCTGGTTTGATATGCTGTTTGATAACGACCTTCACAATGATGCCATACATGGATTGCCCAACGACGGCCTCCGCGTCGATGTTGTGTATGAAGAGGTTAAGAACTGGCTTAAGAGGAATTCACAGAAGTCGCCTGCAGCACAAGTTCTTCTGGCAAAATATACGGAGGATGTGCCTTTAGGACATAACGGCGGACCACTTCCCCCTGATTTCTGGGGAGACGATTCAAAAGCGGAAATAGTCTCCGTCAACAGCGAGTTGTCGCAACAGCCTACAACGGTGCCAGTTTGGTCGGAGCAGGCACCGACAAAGGCTGAGCAAGATCGTATGTATGGAAGAGTCTCCCATGAGATCGATGTTTGGTGGAAGCGCGTTCGAGACGCAAATTACGACAACTGGGTTGTGCCGATGGAGACGGTTGAGGGTGCGATAGCTCGTGCACAGTCATGCAAAGGCAATGCGATGACTCGCTATATCCCGAGGGTCGAGCAAGACGAAGATTTAGAATTCGACCACAGGGAGGGATACGAAGAGGAGCCGGAAGATGAAGTCCACCACGAAGAAGGCGATGGGTACTCTATACACGCTGATGATGGACATGTGGAAGGAGAAGAAGAGGAGGAGGACGACGATGATGACTCCTATGTTGAAGGGTCGTTGCGCGGTTTGCTGACTGAAATACCAAACATTCTTGACACGAAACAGATCGAGGCCCTGCATATGACTGTGAAAGCATGCATCGTCGATGCTATGGGTTCCGGTCTAACAAAATCCGGAGAGAACCTGCAAAAGACCAGATGTAAGATGTTCTTGGCTCTGGACTGTGGCAAGAACCTTCTCCGAGAGATGCTTGTTCTTATAGCAGTGTGGGAGCAGGCCGAATCGCAGTTTATTTTCCAAATCACAGCTCAGATCATTGAGTCCTTCCACCACAATGCTCTACTGCCGTACGCCTGGAACTCTCTGCGGATACTGAAAGATATTGTATCTCCAGCACAGACGATCCTTCTCCGCCTGGTCAACTACATGTTCCGCGCTCGCAAAAACACCACCATCTACTCTGATGTCAAGGATTTCAACCGCGACGCCAAGCTCATCCACTTCCTCTACAACTACTTCCGCTGCCGTGTCGTCCCGGACTGCATCGCTCTCATCTACGCCCAAGCACAAATTCGTGGAAACCGCTCGCATCCGCAAGACTTCCCAGTCGACCTGTGGGATATGGAGCGCTCCAAGGACGGCTTAGCACAGTACCTAGACTTCATGTATGTCATCGCTGACATCCCTGAGATGCGACCCCTGCTTATCGAGTGGGAAACGACATATGAACTCATTGCTCTTCTCAACGCACTCGAAGCCGGCGTAGCTCGTAAACCGCTCACCGAGCTGAGACGTACTACCCCGCCTGCAGCGCGTGCCAACAATGGAGACGCAAGCAGCGCCGAGGGCGACAAGAACTACGACCCCTCTCAGCCGCAGGCTCCACTTGATTCGCAGAATGTGCAACCTGGCCCACCACCTCTTCACGACACCCCCCACAAGTTCCCATGGCGCGGCATCAAGGTGCAAATCCTCATTATTCTCACCTCTCTCGTGGCGCCCTCCAATGGACGGTCCGGGCCTGGAAACCCCGTCGTGCAGAAGCAGATTCTCAAGTATGGCGGTATCATGGCGCTCTTGAACTGCTGCGTGTACGATGGGCACAACGAGTACCTGAAGGAGCGGGCGACGCTTTGTATTAAGTGGGTGATGGAAGGGTGCATGGAGGCGCAGGACTTTGTGCGCGAGCTGAGTCCGCTGAAGAATCAGAAGCAGGACGTGGAGATGGTGAGGTCGAAGGGGGTGGATCAGGTTGGGCCGGTTGGCGGCGGCGAAGATGTGGTGGCGCAGTCAGCACCACAGCAGTCGAAAGAGAACGAGAAGTTCGAGATGGAGAGGTTGTCGAGGATGGCGGATGCAGTGGAGAAGATGAGGATTGCGAATGTCGCCGCGGCGAAGAAAGGGGGGGATGTTGGAAATGATGTTCGATTTTAGCATAGCCAGGCGTTTTATGAGGGGTGGCGGGCTATGAAATATGGGAAGTTTTACGGGGTAAGAGTTAGGTAAACTCATGGATGGCGTTGCAAAAGAACGGCACGGTCATATAATAGGCTTTTAGACTATTGTAAATATCATCACAGTACTCGCATGCCATCGTTATGCCCGCCCCCACCACCCATCTCGCCCATGCACCTTTCAATCCCGCCATATATGCTTACCACTTCGCCCGCTCCTTCAGCTTCTCATTCTGGATCACCTCCACCCAGTATCCGTCTGGGTCCAGCAGGAAGGCCACATTCTTCATCTTGCCCTCTGTGAGCCTCTTCTTCCACTTTGCGCCGACCTCGTCAAATCGCGCACAAGCCGCGTCGAGATCATCAACAGAGACGCAGATGTGCCCGAACCCCTGTGGCTCCGCATTCCCATTGTGGTAGCTGAAGGACTCATCGGCCTCGGTGCCGTAGTTCCAAGTCAACTCAAGCAGGCCCTCGCGATGCGCCCCTGTCGCACTGTTGGGGTAGCCAAGGAAATGTACGTTAAACTTGGCCTCTGGCATCTCGGCGGTGCGCAGCAAGGTCATTCCGAGGATCTCCTGATAGAAAAGCAGCGAGCTCGAAGACGACTTCACGCGGATCATGCTGTGATTCAGGACGTATGTCTCGACGTCTGTGGTGGTGATATCTGCCGTCTTCTCGAGGGGTTTCTGGCCGATAATCTCAATCCAGTATCCGTCTGGGTCGAGCACGAAGGCAATGTACTTCATGCGGCCCTCAGACAGCTTCTTCTGGAACTTGTATCCACCGTCTTCGAGGCGTTGGCACGCTGCCTGGAGGTTATCGACACTGATACACAGGTGACCAAAGCCTCGGTTCGGCTCCTCATTGCCATTATTGACCTTGCAGTTGGGATCATTCTCGGTGCCGTAGTTGTGCGTTAGTTCCACAAGGCCCTCGCGGTCAGACCACGATTTTCCGTGGCTGTTGGCCTTTGGGCTGTCGTAGCCGAAGAAGTAGAGGTCGAATTTAGATTGAGGCTGCTCGATCTTCTGGATCAATTTCATACCGAGAAACTCGTAGAATTTGGCTATAGCGGCAGTCAGTGAGGGGTAATTAATGTGAGAATAATGGGAGGAGGAAGTCCCTTACCGGACGCTTTGGGGTCCTTCACCCGAATCCTGGGGATTGTTAGTGCCACGAGACGCAAGGGGTAGAGAGAGCGTACATCGTGTGATTGAACTTGTAAGACTCCGTTTTGGACGCCATAGTTGCGAGTGATCTGCTATCTCGCGGAACCTTTAGGATTCTGCGTACATTCTCTCACGCCGAATCTTGTGGTTGGAAACCTGAGAGTCCTTTGCAGGGTCCGCAAAAGGAGCATACGTGTAGGACGGGCAAAGAGAGAACAGCAAATAGATAATTGAAAAACTAGAAAGTTTTGAAGCAGAAGGGGCAGGTGCTGCTCGAGCTTACAGATCTGCTCTTCAAATGACGTCCGCCCACAACCCCGCGGCGGCGTGAGTTGCTGTTGTGGGGCACGCAACAGTGCGTGCTTGGATTACAGTACAACCACCAATTGCAGGGGCATATCCATATGCCAGCTCAGCCATTCGTGGACGAGGTATCTGCGTATAGAAACATATAAAGAAGTCAAATATCATCAGCTTCAATTCCATACAACCTCAAATATACACAATAATGTCTAGATTAGGCTTTCTTAGGTCACAGTCCATGTAACAGCCAAGATATTCCCAATCGCTTATCGGCAGGCCGCTCGGTGGCAACTCCATTATCGTGAGCCTCGACCAAATCTGCCTTGGGAGCATCGATTGCTCATTGCTCAACAGCGTGAGACATCAATCAACCACAACCAATCCGCCTTATGACTGCTACATGCTGAGTCACTACCATCGCGATACCCTGATGTACTTCCCAGTGCCATAGTACGCAGCACCGTCACTCCATCTAGCCGTCTCGGCCTCTAACTATACCTCTGTGTCCAGATCCAAAACACCTCGGCGCTACACCACCACGACCACCGCTCACACAATGCTTCTCACCAAACCGCTCACGACCCTCCTCTCCTCCTCCCTCTCGCCCCCGGTCTCAACCCTCCTCCTTCTCACGCCCACGGGTCACATCCTCTCCGCCGCTTCCGCGCTCCCCTCCTCCGTCCTACGTGCGCGCGCAACCCTCGCCCTCCAAATCTGGGCCCTCTACGCAACCAACCCCTCCGCCCTTGCTGACGCACTCCCCAGCACACCAACAAACCCGGAAAACCCAGACGAAGACGAGGCAAGCGAGAAAGCCCCTGCCGTCTCGATCGTAGCCGTTCATCTCTCAGCAGGGACACTTGTCATCCGCCTCCTCAGCTGCGGCCTCTTGGTCTGCGGCCTTAACTCTCCGCCTGCTGAGAACGAGACACCGGCATATACGGGTACGCCGACTAGATCGCAGCGCGGGGCGAGGCCGAACTACCAGGCGCAGCATTTTCTGGCACCGGGATCGCCGTTGGAGGGCGTGGCGAGTAGTGCGGTGAGCGATGCGGGGAGTGTGGGGACGGTGGGGAGGAGGGGTAATAGGGAGTTGGCGGTGTTGAGGAAACGGGTGGAGGAAGTAGGGAAGTGGTTGGATGAGGAGTTGGGAGGGTTTGCAATGAGCGAGGGGATCTGAGGACGTTGGATGATACGTCATTTCTACCGTTGATACAAGAGTGGACATAATGGGAGAGTGGATTGAGAGGTATTATTTGAGGGGCAGTTGGAGATGCTACTGTAAGGCCAAGGGCGATGTGGATCGGGGGCGGCTACATTTTGGCCAGTTGTAAGGAAAGAGGGCAGCTTTTAAGCTGCTGCAAAGGCTGTTCACCATACGCCAACTGAGGTGTGTACAATAATCCGGTCGCAAATATAGCAGCACCCATGTGCGGCATGCTTCTCACCGAGGGTGGAGAAGGCTGCTTCGCGGTGTTCTTACAAACCCTCAAAGAAAATCACTTTATGATTCTTGCCTTCATGAAGAGATATAAACATATCGCCGCAATAAAACACTTGAACGTCATTGAAACGGTAACACTGTATACCGATGAGTGACATATCAAAACCTAACCTGTTATTTTCTTCACCCTCCCCCCAAACCGAGAAAGACCCGTAGCAATGAACAGATACTGACGTCCAGCCACCACCTCGTCATTTGCTTGCGCAGAAAAGAAGGTGAGGGACACATAAAAACTTCAAAAAACGTACCACAGCAAGCATTAGTTGGCGTTCGCATAGGATCCATATCAGATCACGGTCCTGGTATGGATCCAGCGCGAAGCATTGTGAGTCCGACTCTAAAAGTTGCCGAATAGGACTAGACTAGCGATTCCACAGTAGCTCATCCTAGATGAGAGATAGAGGTAGTTAGAGTATTGATTTTGGGACGGAGTGACCGGAGCGATTTCCTACTCCGTGGGACACCTCGCTGTCTGAAATATGTTGGTGGTTCCGCAACTCTGTATTGTGCATGATGATACGCGTACAACGCGGCCTTTACGGCCTTGGGAGTCGACTGAATGACTATGAACAGACAAGACGCGTACCCCATGGCTACTATATACTCTTTATCAACGGCTTCGGATTTACTTAAAGCTTCCTAGCTCACTAAAAACAAGTCCCCTAAAAGCAATTTAAGAGATCTAAAGCCTTGCTATTATTGCAGCCTCTAGTGCAACCATGTTACCCTTTATCACTCTGGAGGAGCACTACGTCTCAGTAAAAGCACGAGAAACCGATGCTGTCGACAATTACGCCAGCTTCCCTCCGAATAACTTGAAGAGATACGTTTCCCTTATCTAGATCTTGAATTCGCTCATCGCCAAGTGATCTTAACTTGGTAACCATGTCGCATAGTCCTGGAACTAGGTCTCCAGAAGTCTGTTCGGCAGCCAACGATGAACTTGCCGCTGCCATTTCCAAGAACCCAACTCGCATGGCCGGCTTCGCAACGCTCCCAACCAATGCACCAACGAAGGCTAGGTCTCGGACACAATGCTCGAGTCTTCGCTGCTTCTTCTGGATGGGCAGTTCTACGACGATGAACGGTTCTTGACGGTTTTTGAGAAGGCGAACGAGTTAGATGTCCGATGTATATCCACCCAACATACGCGACTGATAGTATGATGGAGCATTATAAGGGTAATTACGACGACGCAATCGCTGTTGCTCTGAGCGCGTATGGTTGGGGATGGCATGCAGACACTGGCCTACACATCTTGAAGTTATTTGCCAGTGGCTCTTCGCACATGGGGGAGTTGCTTCCGTTTCAGCTCGAGAGGGTTATTGCGATTGCAGACAATTGGCAAGAAGAGAGGGTTCAGAGAGGTATGGAATAAAAACATATGGATCACGACGAGCGGCATGTTCGCACTTGCACCTCTGGCGTGCTTATTGAAGACCACATCGATTGATCGTGTGCTGTATAGCGTCGACTATCCGTTCTCATCTAACGAGAAGGGGCTCGAGTTCTTCAAAGAGATTGAGAAGAGCGGCTTGATTGCGGGGGAGGACTTGGAAAAGTTTGCGTTTCGTAATGCGCAAGACTTGCTTCGCGTGAAGGCTCAAGCACTGTAAACGTCTTGGTTCGAGGGTTTCCTTCTATGTATATTTTAGGTTCAAGCAAGCAAGCAGGAATATAAGCATTATCAAGTGTCATTTTTAGCCTTTGCTACAAATTTTGAACTGCGGCTAACATAAGCTTTCCCGTAAGTTGTTATAAATCAGTTCTACTTGTAACCTCGTAGCTTGGCCATGGCCCGCCCCGACCCTGTCCCACATCGAATTGTCACCAGCCACGGTTGAAACACCAAACCTAGGATGTTCATACAGCTAGTGAGAACATGCTCGCCGAGCTATGTCACCAGAAGAGTTGAATGGCATAATTAGCAAGTACAAGGGAGCAATTCGAGTAATCAAGCTTTCAAACGACATAGCAGTCAAGTTTGGGCGTGGTGTGACAGCCGCCGAGGCCAGAACCCACGAATTTGCCTATCAAAATGTAAATCCGAATATCGTTCACGTTCCTCAAGTTTATCGCTTTTTCGAACGGGACTACGATCCTCGGTGGAGCAGCTCAGAGGGCTACCTGTTCATGGAGTATGTGCCAGGCCGGACGCTTGCTGAGCTTGACCTTGATGTGGGGGACGACATCGTTCCCCGCATCGCTCAGATCATTGCGCACCTTGGCCAGATCGGAGTGCGCAATGATCTGAGCGACGCAGTCCCCGGTCCCATAGGTGGTGGAAGCCCAAGGGGCTATCAAGAGGCTATCTTTGGGGTGAAGATGGTGCGGGAGAAACCTTCACATGCGTGTCAGACTTCAACGCTTGGCTCAACAAACGTCTCGAATTGCAGAGGAAGTCGATAGATCTTTATGGTTCTCCACTTGTTCTATGCTATCTGGATCTTGCCCGGCGGAACATGATTCTCAGGGATGACAACACAATTTCTCTTGTTGATTGGGGTTGTGCTGGACTTTATCCAAGGTTTTACGAAACTACAACGCTTCTTTACCTCAGTCCTTGGGATGCACTATACCAGAAACGCCTGATTGAAACCACAAATACTCTACTAAAATTGACTGATGATGAAAAGCGCTTGGCGAGACTGGTCCAGATTGCCCGCGCTGTTAGTTTGCAATATTCCTTGTAAGCATACCTATGTTAAAGCAAGCCTTAAAAACTAACTGCTGGAATAGCAAGACCGACAAAAGGTCATATGGTTTACCAGAGGGATTTTCTTCATTGCCCCCCCCTCTACCACCCCTAGGTCAATAAAATGGCCCAATTTGGAGTTACTAGGGTAGTTGGCGCTGGATTGATTATTTCGCAGGGGTGGGAAACAGGCTTGCAAGAGAGGTTTACATCTCACCGGGAAGGATAAATGCTTCAGAAGTTGTAATGATTACACATATCTTTCTATATCGCACTATGCAATCCCTAAGTTGGGTATGGTACATTATCTTACACGTCCCCACCAGCGACTCCCTATCTACGTCCCAACTTCCACCTCGAGATCCGATCCTGGATCTCAGCCCAAGCAAGCTGCTTCCTCTTAACCCCATTACCCTCCTCACCCTCCTGCAGCACCACCGTCGGTGCCCCGCTTCCCTGACCCGGGTTCTTCACCAAGCCCTGGAGAACATCCCTTGCGACTCTGCGCAGATCCTGCACGGTGAGCTGGTCGATCTTGTTACACATCTCCTTCACGCCGACCTTGCTTCCGTGAACCTGCACCTGGCGTCCCAGATCCTCGAGCTCCACCATCCGCGACTCAAGGTTCATGAGTAGACTCGAGCGCAGCTGGTTCTTGGCGCGGTTCACCTCCACCATCTGCAGGGCGCTGAAGCCGTTCTCGAGCGTCAGGGCCTGTAGTTCGCGGCACATCACGTCGAGCATCTGGACTACTTTGCTGGGAGTGCAGCTGGAGGTGATGCCGAAGAGGCCGGAGTCGGTGTAGGAGTGGTTGAAAGCGACGCAAGACTCGACCCAGCCGTGCTGGTTCAGGACGTTAGTGTAGAGGCGCGAGTACATGCCTTTTCCTGGGCCACCGGCTGAGAAGGAGCCGCCGCCGCCCAGAAGAGTCTGGAGAGTTGCGAGGGCGTAGATATCGTCGGATGAGATGGGGAGGGCCTCGAAGGCAAGGTGGATGTGGGTGAGTGGAGGTAATGAGGGGTTGATTGGTGGTGGGAGAACAGGGAGGGCGACGAATCCTCCGGTATATTGTGAAGGTGCGAGGATCTGTTCTGGCGTAGGGGGTAATGATAGGTCTGAGAGAACAGAGGCTCGGTTGGAGGAGGAAGTTGAGAGGTTCTTCAAAAATGGCAGTCTCGAAAGCAGGTTCGAAGACTGTTGGACTGGAGACGGCGGTGCTGACGCAGATTCAGAACTCGATGTGGAGCTCGTCTCCGAGGCGGAGTCGACCGATGTTTCTGAGCCTGTCCTGGACAGTTCCGGGCTATCCTCGCTCTTCATATCTCCAAAGTATTGCTCCGTCAGCCTCACAGCTTCCTTGTGCTCAACGCCTGCGAACGCAACAACTATTCTTTCCGGCTTGAAGAAGGCCTTGCGGTATGCCTCAATAACGCTCTTATCGATCTTGTCAAGTCTCTCCTTGGGGCACAACAGGGGGTTACCCAGAGTGTTGTCTTTGTACGCCGCCATATGAACAAGCTCGGGGAGGATCAGCTCCGGCTTGGACCAAATCTCGCCAATTTCGTAAGACGCAGTCTCAAGTTGCTGCTGTACCTCTTCTTCTGTTATTAAAGGATTCCGAATCGTCTCCGCAAGCAGCGCAACGGTTGTCGGAACAGCGGAGTTGAAGGTGGCGGACTGGTACATGAGCGATTCGCGCGACGAGGCACACTGTATATTTCCACCCAGGGACTCCAAAGCTTCTAACATCTGATCACTGGTGCGTTTCTTCGTGGATTTGAATGCCAATCTATCCATAATATGGCTCACGCCTCTCAGATGCTCATTCTCGTACCGAGAACCGGCGTCAATGTAAACACCGATGCCGGAAAAGTGGCCAGGCAAGGCCTCTGTAGCAACGCGGATTCCATTCGATAAGGTCGTAATCTCATCTAATTCGGCAGGGTCCTTCTAGCTGTCAGTGTCTGTATGAAGATGTTGGGCCCAACGGAGATCCGGGGAAAGGGTCTACCTTTTGAATTGGCTCAACGACCGTGGCAAGGCTCCGCCGTGCTATTGAACTCGTCGCGGAGGTCGATGCCTTTGTACATAATGGCAAGAGACGACTAACCGCTCGAGATGACGGTGTTTTGATCATACTTGATGCTTGACTGTTAAAAATGGTCTTCTCGTGGTTCAAATAGGTTGCGGAGCGGAATTTGCCGGCCGAATAAAATAAAGGTCACGTGCCAATTATGATAATCATAAGTTGCTTACCCCTGACAAAATCAAGTAACGGAGCGAAGCGATCACACAAGCGAAGCGATCACTGAACTTCCCACCTAAAATTGAGAAATTTACAAGATAATACTATCCCCCCTGAATGATTGTGAGGTTTCACTATTACGTATTGATAGAATTATCTCACCGCTTCCAAATTAAGTGATTAAAGTACGTACTCTATCTAGTATTTAGTCTGTCCACCCTCAGCTGTAATAACAGCACGGCAGCGATCGTGAAATGTACTATACAGCTTTGTAACATATTCATCTGGTACTGCATCCCATGCGACAATAATTATAGAGCGTAAATACTCATGTGAAATACTCTGTGCATCATACCGTACTCGAAAATAATGCTCCTGAATCCAATTTTTCATCCAATTCCATATAAGCTATGCTTAATTATATTAAGATCAGGAGAGTATGACGGCCATTGTATATATCTAATAAATCGCTGTCGAAGTTGCCGTTCTGTATATCTTGCATCATGAGAAGGGGCATTATCTTGCTGCCACCACTACCCTTTGCTTGTCTGCTTATCTTCGTTGAGGTCTGGATGTTCTCGAAAAAATTGTTCAACAACTAGAAGTATATGCTCCTTATATTTTTTTTCGCAGTAACTGTTCCCTAGTCTTTTTCCCAAAATGTTACTGGCCCTTTTTTCCCTCCTGTAATTATTCCATGAAACATCTAAGCAGGTAACTTTGAATATTTATGTTGTAGTAAATCCTCGTCATATTTATCGCTTCCATCTGATTTTGCTATAACATATGATTGTGTATGTGCTCCTCCATTTGCCCAAACTTCATTAGAAAAACATTGTTACATAAGTCTATCAGGACTCCATCGTAGGGCTTTCTATGCAAAGATAAGACGAAGGCGACGATGAAAGGGATCAGATGAGAAACTTTTTTTTTTGAAATGCGACGTGTATATCCTAAAATTCCAAATGCAGTATTTAGCGCTTTCTAGCCTACATTATTCAATCCAACTTCAGGGGCAAAAGTTGGAATAGCAATCCAACATGCTATTTTATGTAACGGAGAGCTCTGTAACCATTTCTCTAACTCTGTGTGCTATAGTGTTCGAATAAGAGGTTTACAGCCTGATTTCGAGTGTTGAGGTGTAGTTGGATTTGCTTTTGCATATCTGATTTGTCGCTCTGTAACGTGTAGAGTAGCTGCAATTTTCTTATATGATAATCCAAATTTTAATGCTGTTTGAATTGCAATTCTATCATCTCAAGTAGTTGTAGGAGCCTTAAAGAGAGGTGTAGTAGGCATCTATGTAAGGACACAGGAACCCAGCTCACAGTAATAGCATATTGTTACGGCTATAGTAACATGATGTCATGGTTACAGGGCCAGGGCCTAGTAACGTGATGTGTGAGTCACAGTGGGAAGCGGGGTAGGCTGCCATGTGACGGGGCTAATGGATAATTGCAGAAACTAGTGGATATTGGATAGTTGAGCTATCCACAAACTATCCTGAATATCTAGCTATCCGCCAACTATCCAGATTACCCATGAGGCACGACGCCACTATATAAGTAGATAGTATTTCCTTAGATAGGAGCTTCGTGCTCAACTCAATATAGTATTCTTTACAATACTGTAACGTGTTACTTGGAAAGCCTTTGTGTCTAATCCCCTGCCTCCTCTGTCAAGTCAACCTTACGCAAGAAACCTCTGTGTCTTCTATCGTTTAGAAGTCAGCGTTACACATATGAGAGTGCAGGTCGGAGGCTAAACGGATGCTATCCTATAGGTCTACTACGAAGGATACAAAAAAGATGAAGAGAGGAAACCCGTTGGGTCAATCTCCTTAAGTACCTGAAATGGGTCCGACTCGGCTAACCTGCCTTCACTCTCACCACATGACCATAACCTGTCCGACTCAGATACCTTCCATCACTGAGGGAGAGGGACCCCGTTGGGTCAATCCCCTTAAGTACCCGAAACGGGTCCGACTTGGCTAACCTACCTTAACTCTTATCATGTGACCTAATCTGTCTGACTCAGATCCTTTCCGTCACTGAGGGACAGGCATCCTTACAATCTATGGATTTAAAAGCTCTATAATATCCATAGCTGATTCTATAGAACTAAATATTTTGAAGGTATTACAATACTATTTACATCTATGTAAGGATGCCTGTCCCTCAGTGATGGAAAGGATCTGAGTTGGGCAGGTTACGGTCACATGATAAGAGTTAAGGCAGGTTAGCCAAGTCGGACCCGTTTCAGGTACTTAAGGGGATTGACTCAACGGGGTCCCTCTCCCTCAGTGACGGAAGGTATCTGAGTCGGACAGGTTATGGTCATGTGGTGAGAGTGAAGGCAGGTTAGCCGAGTCGGACCCATTTCAGGTACTTAAGGAGATTGACCCAACGGGTTTCCTCTCTTCATCTTTTTTGTATCCTTCGTAGTAGACCTATAGGATAGTGTGATGGTGGGTGCACCAGATGTGAGAATCTAGCCACCGAAGAAAGGGATGATTTTACTAAGACAACACACTGTCTTAGGAAAAAGAGCCAAAGGGTCGTAGCTTAGACTATTCCACAATGCAGCAATCAGGTATATGATGTAGTGGAGTGGTTTAGACAAGTTGTAACAAATGTTGAGTCTGAGAACTCAGGGATAAGTCAGAGGTTAGCACTTACTGACTTTTCAGAAACAAGGAGTAACAAGATCAATGATTGGAAGCTTGGAAAAGACGTGGAAGTATGTGATAGTCGATTTACTGTATTGTCTGCTTGCCCTTTCTTAAGGAAAGGGCAATCCTATTTATGCTAAAGGAATGTAGTTCTCTCATTTTCCAAGACTTTCCATGACTTACCAGGCTTGGTAACTGTAGTCGACGTAAGAGAATCCCATAGAACCATCTCTTAGGTTCGTAGCCTATAGGAAGTAAAAGGAGGTCCAAGGTCAGAATACCCCTATAGACAAATTATGTCATAGACAAATTATGTCATAGACAAATTATCATAGACAAATTATGTCATAACTTAACCAATCTTGTGGGTAACTAAAGAGCGATGACATGTAATGAATCATAGAGGTTCGTAGGAGCTTTTAGAGCTATTGTTCATGCTCCTAGGCCTCTAGTTGGTAGAGATATGTCATGTGGTAGTATGAGTGATGTCATGTAATGAATCATAGAGGGTTGTAGAGATATGCTATGTGGTCATATCGGCCCAGTAACTAAGGAGCAATGACATGTAATGAATCATAGAGGGTTGTAGCAATCGTTGAGTAGTATTGCTCTTGTTGTTGGTATGACAAGCCAAAATATGTATAGTGACTTGTAGGTTTGAGGAGGATATTTCTAAGTTTGCTCTTTAGTTTGATAGCAAACTGAGTGCAACGAATGTCAGTATAACAGATAGCATCCGTTTAGCCTCCGACTCGCACTCTCATATGCTATTACTGTGAGCTGGGTGCCCTGTGTCCTTCCAATCTACATACATAATTACACTAAGACCCCCTCAATTTTAGCAGTATTAAAAGTGGGAATAGTAGAACCTAAAAATCATTTAGGGGGATAGTAACTCAACAACAACTTCATAATATATTCTAAAAATGTGTGTGTATCCTTATATATACAGGTAGATTCCTTTATTTTAAGCTTTAAAGCAATTAGACTAGTAGATATTGAAATATAAAGACCTAGTCTAAATTTCAGTGCCTAGACTTAATATCTTAAGAACTACTAAATAGATTATTCGTAAATGATTAGGTACAAATTCAACTAAATAGATCATTCGTAAATGATTAGGTACAAATTCAACTACATAGAAAAGGCTAGAAATACATTTTTAATATATATTATGAAGTTGTTGTTAAGTTATTATCTTGTAAATTTCTCAATTTTAGGGAAGTTCAGTGATCGCTTCGCTTGTGTAATTGCTTCGATTGTGAAGTACGTTAACTTAATCGTCGTGACCAACCTTGAGCTTTGCTGAAGATTGGAGTAAGCGAGTTGTGGCACTTCACATGAGAGGAAGCTAGTGTAACGCTGACTTGTAAACGATAGAAGACACAGAGGTTTCTTGCGTAAGGTTGACTTGACAGAGGAGGCAGGGGATTAGACACAAAGGCTTTTCGAAGTAACACGTTACAGTATTGTAAAGAATACTATATTGAGTTGAGCACGAAGCTCCTATCTAAGGAAATAGTATCTACTTATATAGTGGCGTCGTGCCTCATGGGTAACCTGGATAGTTGGTGGATAGCTAGATATTCAGGATAGTTCATGGATAGCTCAACTATCCAATATCCACTAGTTTCTGCAACTCCATTAGCCCCGTCACATGGCAGCCTACCCCGCTTGCCCCCTGTGACTCACACGTCACGTTACTAGGCCCTGGTCCTGTAACCATGATGTCACATTACCGTAGCCGTAACAGAAGCATCCTCAAAGGTTGGTGGTGTTAAAGGCCGTAGTTGAATGTCAAGCTGTGACAACACAACATCAGGACAGAATGGAACTAGCCCTGTAGCTCGAAAACTACTGCAGATGTTCTGCTTTGTGATTGCGTCTGTGAAAGCCTGCTTAAAGGCAGGAAGAAACTCAACTTTCGTAACATGGTTTATATGAGTGCAGATTAAGCTCTCAACTTGCCGTCCATATGCCTTCTTAAGTGGTCCAAAGCAACTAACATCAAGCGGTTGAAGTAGATGAGATGAGTGCGGAGGCATATAAAGCAATATTATACCATTCTCCTTACAGTATTGCTCAAACGGTAGAGAATAGTGACTCTCATGGCCATCTAGAATTAACAGGTGATGTGCACGAACTGTACGATGCTTTGTATGCTGATGAAAATGTTGGATCCATAAATACAAGTTCATTTGTCGTCCATCCATTCTCACTAACTGTGAGAATCCAATCTTGTGGTA